GCCCGGGGACGCGGGCCCGCGCCTGGGGCCCCGCGGGAGCATGCCCATCTCGGCGGTGGGGCGGGGCGGGAGGCGCGGGCGCCGAGACCGGCCCCCCGGGGCCCGCGGCGGGGAGCCCCTCGGGCGGGGTTAGTGACCTGCGGCCCGAGGGGGCGGGGCGGGGAGCTCCTTAAGGCCGTGCACCTACGGGCGAGCGCGCTCGGGACCTGGGGTGCAGGTGCAAGTTCGTGTAGCTGCTGAAAAACGTGTTCCGCTTCGGAACGATGCCGTTTTTAATACACAAGAGGGAAGGGTGCGGAAGGGTTTTCGGAGTTCGTGGGTCTTCGAAGTATTGGAATGTGTCGTTCCGGGCAAGAAAGTTTGCCGGGAAAGCCCGCCTGGAGTTGACCTCGCGCTTCCTGAGTGTGACTGTGCTTTGTAGGGGCAGGTAGAGACATTTTGAAAAGCTCACTTTTATTGTTTTAAATGCGTAATGTAATGGTGGCCGTTTAAGCCAGTGACGACCTGGTCGAGACTCAAAAAAAAAAAAAAAAAAAAAAATCCGATCCAGTCTCTAGCTAATGCTTCTTTGCAGCGATTTCAGATGGTCTGTTGTCCGAGTGTCTTTCAGGGAATGTTGGATTTTTCAGAATTTAACTATAATTGTAGAGGCACGGGGGGGGGGGCGTGTTTTTATGGTTCTGGACCTGGACCATAGGACCTTGTATGCTGTACCACTGAGCTCTCATGTTCAGCTCGCATTTGTGTATTTAAATATCGGAAAGGGCCACTTGAGTGCTCTAGTATTGGAGGTTATAACTGAGATCTCTTGCTTAGTGTGTTCATGGCCCTGGCTAGGTCTGATCTCAAGGCCTGCTAGAGAATTATTAGAAGGCTCTGGTGTAGTCCAAGAACAGCCACACAAACCACTCAGACACCAATCTCGGGCAGATATTGATGCTTTATTGGAATCCCTTTTCCAGGCAATCAATCAGTAAGGAGCTTAAATGTGACGTCTACAAGTTCTCACAGGAGGGTTTTTATAGAAAGACCAAATGCAAAAGATATTCGGAGGGCAGTAACACGTTTTGGCCAGCTGTACAAAGCTAGACAAAGTATTGTCAGCTAACCTTTAAGCTGATTGGTTCTGGGTGAGATATGTGAAGGTCTTCCAGAGTACCTCCTGAGTACAACCAGGTGTATAGATGAGTGGAATCAGTGTGTAGCCAAGTGTGTAGACAGTAAAGCATGACTTTTGACACTATTGAATCATCGTAAAATGTAAGGTCAGCTTGACTCTGGCAGGGTCAGCTATGAATAACTACTTCTAGGAAGCAAGGTTACAAGTTTACAAATTTTGAACTTAATTTTAACTTACAAGCAAATGGAAGCTCAATATATTGAATACAAAAATGGCAGCAGCTGAGTCTTAAGGAGCAGGCCTAAGCAGCTGTGTCTCAAAAGAACAGGCCTCAGTAGCTCTGCTTGTGGGGAATTAAAGCTAGCATCTGGTAAGAGATGCATACTTACTTGGATGTGATTTGATTTTGCGGTATCCAAAATAAAGGCATACACTTACTTTACTGCAAGATACTTTATGTATTTTAATGTATCCTGAATAAAAACTGACCCAAAGGCAGTTCAGCTGCAAATAGAATATGTGAGATTTTTGTGCACTAGAGGCAGGGAGAAGTTAGGCTTTTTCAATTCTGTAGATGGATTGAAAGAGCAGATGAGGGCTAGCCAGATTTGAGTGGGTTCTGGTTCTGGAAGAGGATCTGCAAACTGGATAAATGAAGGGGTCAGTGGGCAATTTTCAGGAGAAGGTAAATGGGTCCAACCACTAGGCTAATGGGTCCAAATGTCCCTTGGGAGTGTGGATGGAAGCTTAGGAAACTGAGAACATCATGTTTGCTGAATTGTTGGTAGTTTGCTTGTTTACTGGTTCTTTTGTCAGTTATGTGTAATGCAAATGGGTTTTTCCATTCTGTGGTTGCCCTTTTATTCAGCTCAGGGAACCTCATTGTGTAGCTCTGGCTGTCCTGGACCTCCCTATGTAGACCAGGCTGATTTCCTTTTGTTTTTCTGTTTTTGTTTGGTTGGCTTTGGAGTTTTCTCTGTGTAACAGAGCCCTGGCTGTCCTGGACTCACTTTGTAGACCAGGCTGGAGTCGTTTCCTGGTGGTCTCTGAGGGTCTTGTGATCCTGGCATAACATTTTGCCCAGTTCCCTTTGTTATGTCTCAGAGACCACCAGGAAATGACTCTGATGCAAGAGCAAGAGAGCTTTATTGTGAGAGTGATTGAAAGTGTCACTGAAGCAGCAGTAGAGAAGTGGGACCCTGAGCCCTAGTTGAGCAGGATTTATAAAGGGAAAAACCACCTGGGGGGTTCCATGCCATGCCTTACAGGATTGGGTAAAAGTCATAGGGGTGATGTGATCCTTTAGCTGAAGCTTAACTACAGTGGCTAATCTTCTAAACCACATCTGGAACATTGGGGAGAATTTTTCTCACCCGATTCTGATTGGTTGTTCCCAGGGGAATTATCTCTTATTTTTTTACCAAGTGTTTATTCTGTGATAATTCCTGGAAGCTGTTGCTAGGAGAGTTAACTCTGTTTTCTGCCAAGTGTACATTCTGTGATTTTTTTTTTTTTTTTTCCTGGTATCTAGTCTCTGGTCACAGGTGTGCACAAGATGGTTTCTCATCTCAAAATGGAATCACCCAAGTTAATTTAAGCTCTTCACCTTTAATTTTTGAAAATGTATCTTAATTAAAATACATCATTTCCTCCCTCCAATCCCAATTTTTAGCTTACAATTAATTTAATTTAAAAACATTTTAAATTATTCATGTTTATGTGCACATAGGTGCAGGTGCCAGTGGAGGCCAGAGACATTAGATACCCTGAAGCTGGAGTTAGCAGTTGTTATGAGCTGCCCGCTGTGGGTGCAGTGAATAGTACTTCTGTGCTCTCAACTCTGGAACCATCTCTCTAGCTCCCTCGTTTTCCTTCTTTAGGCTTTAAAAAGAACACAGAAAAAAATTGAAAATATGTAGACTGGCCTGGCATGTTGCCTCAGGAATATAATCCCAGTACTAAGAAGGCAGAGGCAGGCAGATCCTTATGAGTTCAAGGTCAGCCTGGTCTACAAAGAAAGTTCCAGGACAGCCAAGGCTACACAGAGAAACTCCTTCTCTAGAAAACAAAGCAAAAAACAAACAAAAATCCTAGACTCATACATTCATAGACCTAACTTGTGCCTGTTTTTGACACAAGGTCACATAGGAGTGTTAGCCATCGCCTGGATAATTTACTCACATGGTATCTCTAAACAGGCTTGAATTTTGGAAACAGGTCTTACCATATAGACTATATTGGCCTTGAATTTAGCAAACCCCCCCCCCCCCCCCCCGTGTTTCTGAAACATGCTCCCACCACTACCCTGGACTGGTGGAATATAGTTGGGCACCAATTTTATGGTTTGTTTTTGTGACAGGTTGGCTTTGAACTTCATACATAGCTGAAAATGACTTTGAACTCCTGATTTTTCTGTTTTCTTGCTACTGAGTTGCTACCTTAGTGTGTCATTTCTTCTTTTTTGTTTTTTTGAGATAGGGTTACTGTGTAGCCTTGGCTCTCCTAGACTAGGCTTTGTAGACCAGGCTGGCCACAAACTAACAGGGATCTGCCAGCCTCTGCTTCTGCCATTTCTTCTTTTTTTTTTCTTCTTCCTGTTTTTAAATTTTTTATATTAATTACAGTTTATTCATTTTGTATCCCAGCTGTAGCCCCCTCCTTTATCCCCTCCCAATCCCACCCTCCTTCCCTCATCTCCTCCCATGCCCCTCTCCAAGTGTACTGATAGGGGAGCTCCTCCCCTTCCATCTGACCCTAGCTATCAGGTCTCATCAGGACTGGCTGCATTGTCCTCCTCTGTGGACTGGTAAGGCTGCTCCCCTCTCAGGGGAAGAATATCAAAGAGCCAGCCTTTGAGTTCATGTCAGAGACAGTGCCTGTCTGTTCCCCTTACTAGGAACCCACTTGGATACTGAGCTGCCATGGACTATGTCTGTGCAAGAGTTCTAGGTTATATCCATGCATGGAACCCACTTGGATACTGAGCTGCCATGGACTGTGTCTGTGCAAGAGTTCTAGGTTATATCCATGCATGGTCCTTGGTTGGAGTGTCACTCTTAGAAAAGACTCCTTGGCCCCTGTCATTTCTTCTTAAAATCAGCTTGAAGTGACTAAGGTAACATCATATTGCCTTGACTCCATTTTGTGTCTGTGGAGACACTAGCCTCATCCCCCAACCCTCCTCGGTAGCTTTGGCAACGCTTTTGGGACTGTCACCTTTACCATTGTCCAGATGTAGTAAGTAAAGTAATTAATGTTTGTGCAAGCTAAAACATTAACTAAAATAAAAGTAAATAATTATAGTGTTGTGTCTGGAAAAGACAGATGTTAAACCCCCCCCCCCATGTAATTGTTGTTTTGTCATTAAAAATGCTGTATCCCCCTGAGCTTCAGTATTGAGAGACATTTTGGAGGCCTTAGCCAGCTCTTGGTCTGGCCATTATTAAAG